AAATGGGTTCGGGTTTTGCGAACCTATGTTTGCCGACCGGGGGTTCGGCGTATGGAATGCCCACAAACTGATCCACATTTGTGTCCAACACATGTAGTGTCCGACCCCTCACTACTCCTATACTGGTCTTCACATCAATACTATTCACAGTATTTAATGTCAAATACAAAATTATTATTGTGGATATTTTAAACATTTTAAAACAATTTCTGGCTACTTTTTACATTAATAGTATATTAATTATTCCAACTATTAATAAATAGGTTTAACAGTATTCTACTTGTAATAAATGTTTCAAACACGGTAGATAATTTACTTAATATGTTGTTTCTCATATTAGATATGGTTAAAACATAATGTTTTAATCTGCTTATTGTTAAAATCGATCATTTTATGGAAAATTAGCATGTGTTTGGGAAAATTTTAAATGATAAGTTTAATTGAAACACGCTAAAGTTTTTGATAAGTTATAAAGATTATCATTTCAGAAATAACTATTTTATAACATTTTTACAATTCAAGAAATAAATAATAATTAAGTTTAAAAATTTAATTATTTTATTTGAATACAAATTCCCAACACCCGTTAATTTTTAATGGAGAGTTTTATGGCACCAAGGTTTAAAAAAATTAATCTATAGAAAATAGTCGGCCCACACGCCATCACAAGTTTCATGAAACGGGTCATTCAGTACAAGCTGTAAGTTCTTTGGGTCCAAACCGTGGACTTTGGGCGCACCCATCGGCTCATCGTTTAACAGCTGCGGCCAATCAGAGTCCATATGACTATAATGAGCATAATTATTATTTAATAAATTTATTGATTAAATATATCATGTTTAAATTTTTATAATTATTATAAAATAAATTAATCAATTTAATTGGATAATTTTAATAAGTCTAATAATTCATAATGTTACTTACCCTGTTTTGGCAAATTTAGTCCATGTTTTCATAATAATATTGGCGTAATTGATATCATCGGGACTGTAATTGCGTGGATCAAGTAGTGGTAGACCAAACACAAATGGCAATTCCATCATGTGACAAATGCCCATGGTCGTACTGCAATTAGTCTGTTTGGCAAACCACTCGCTTTTATGCAACAACTCGTAAAAGTAAACACTTTGCGACTCTTTGACAGTTTGTGCGAACCGTTTGGCGAACAGATATGTCGGACAACCGAGCATTAGGTCACCAAACAGTGCCGCAAATCCGGTTCTTAAAGCTAAAGCATCGCGTAGTGTTGACATCTTTTAGGTATTGTTCCGCTACTTTATTTACATTTACGTTATGAATGCCCATAGAGTCGAGTGATTTTACTAAATTGTAAAAGTCGTTTAATGTCATATGAGCAGGGTCTTTGATCATATTTCTGGTTATCCAAGAGCCCTCGGTTTTGGTGATTCCGGCCA